TTAAAAAATCTCCCTGTCTAGAGCCACAAAGTACAGTTTCCTCTGAATATGTACTCACGTATTTTCTCCTTGACCTGGCAGCTCTGGAATTTGGCTATAATATTTCTGGAAATTTTCATTTTGGAATCTCAGGAGGTGATTGGTGGATCCTGCAATTTCTATTTTACTCCCTGGTTCTAGAATATCAGGGACATTTTCTTCGATAATTTTTTGAAATATGATGTCTAGGTTCCTTAGTTGATCATAGCTTTTAGGTAGTCCAATAGTTCTTATATTATATATCTGGGATCTGTCTTCTAGGTTAGTTGTTTTTCCAATGAGATATTTTACATTTTCCTCTATTTTTTCATTCTTTTGATTTTGTTTGGTTGTTTCTTGATGTCTCATAAAGTCATTAGCTTCTATTTGCTCAATTCTAATTTTTAAGGACTTATTTTCTTCAGTGAGCCTTTATACCCCCTTTTCCATTTGGGTAATTCTATTTTGTAAAGAGTTTTTTTCTTCAGTGAATTTTTGTATCTTTTTCCACTTCGCCAATTTTGCTTTTTAAGGAGTTCTTCTCTTTAGTGAATTTTTGCATATCTTTTTTCTGTTTATATTATATCATCTATATTATTATCATCTGTATTATATCAATTCTGCTTTTCAAGGTATTTGTCTCTTCATTGGATTTTTGTGCCTCTTTTACATTTGGCCTATTTTGATTTTTTAAGATGTTATTTTCTTCAGTATTTTTTTTATGTGCCTCTTTTACAATCTGTTCTTTTTTCATAATTTTCTTGTCACTCTCATTTCTCTCTTCCCAATTTTCCCTTTACCTCTCTTACTTAATTTTTAAAATCTTTTTTGAACTCTTCCATGGCCTGAGACTAATTAATATTTTTCTTTGATGCTTTAGATGTAGCAGTTTTGACTTTGTTGTCTTCTGAGTTTGTATTTTGATCTTCCCTTTCACTATAGTCAGGACCTTTTTCTGCTGTTTGCTCATTTTCCTAGTCTATTTCTTGACTTTTAACTCTATGCTAAAGTAGGGCTGTGCTTCCAGAATGGAGAGGGCACTGTTCTAAGCTTTGTGTCTTTTGTGCAGCTGTTTTCCGAGATAATTCTAGGGGGCCTGTAAGTTTTTAGTTCTTCCAAGGTGGTTTCATATTGGGAGAGGTGTGTTTACTTACTCTCGTGGCCTTTGCTCTGGTTTGTGAGCAACTACAAGTACTCTTTTCTACTGTGGAACTGTGACCAGGGTCACAGCTCCCCTGCAGTTGCAAACTCTTCGTGTGCTAGTGATTCTCCTTCCACCGGGACTGAAACCCAGGACTATGACCCAGATCCAAATCTGGGCAATGCAACAGAGTCCTGCCCCTGCTACCAGAAAAGGGACCCTTGTAATTGCCTTCTGACCAGTCGTCTGACCCCCTTACCATCTTGGGGCTAAGAGGTCCAGAAATTGCCACTGCCTCCACAGATTCAGTTGCCCCCAAGGCCTCCTGCTGGTTTGCTGGGGGTTGCCTGCTCTGGACCATGCTGTACTCTTACTAATACTCAACAGACCTTTCCTTCTCACCTTCTAAGTTGTCTTGGGCCAGAAAATTGTTTCACCCTATCCTTTTGTGGGTTCTGCCACTTCAGAATTTCTTTTTGAAGCATTACTTAAAGTTGTTTGGAAGGGTTTGGGGGAGAGTTCAGGTGAGTCCTGGCCTTTTCTCTGCCCTCTTGGTTCCGTCCCTTCAATTTTCAAAGAAAATAACTACCATGGAAGACACTGCCTTAAGTTTTTCTCATCCCACCCCTATTCTGCCTCCTAACCTGAGCTCAGAGATTTTGGCTCTTCTTGGGTAAGGTGGGGAGGGACTATCTGGTGGAACATTGAGCAGAGCCCAGACCTTAGGAAACAAGTCAGTAAATTCAGCTCCCCCCCACTTCGGTGTCTTCATTGAATGGACCCAATGTCACATGCATCTGCCCTGGGGACATGTGATGCAGGGGTGAGGGGAACAAAAGTGGGCTAAATGTAATGGCAAAGGCAGGCCTGCTGCCAATAAAGATGATGGGGGTGAAAGGTTAATTCATTAATGGAGGAACAATTTGTCTGAAGAGCCATTTAAGTGTGCAGATCAAAAGTCATAAAAATATCATTTCCAGTTCATAAACTCCTTTTGACTCAGATAAAAGTGGCTGCCGAGACCTCGGCATGTCACAGGTTCCCAGGGGCTCCAGGTTGCCTGCTGCCTGGCTCTGAATCCAATCACCGGTGGGCAGGGCTGCTTCTGAGAGCCCAGGCACCTCTAGCAATTTCGCTAGGTCAGCTTGACTCCAGAGCTGATGGGTGTGAGTCCTGGGGACACACTAAAAAATAACCACAGCCTGAGATGAATAATGTCCCCAGCCATGAGGCAGCACAAAAAACCATTCATTTCAGTGACTCTCAGGCAGCTCCAGTGCAGTGGGATAGTCAGGAACCAGAAGACTCAGATTCCAACCCTAGCTTTGTCATTTACTACTTGTAGGAGGTGTAGCAAGCCCACCTCTTCTTTCTGGTCTTTATTTTCCTCATCTATAAAATGAGGGTACCATTCTAACATCCTGCCTCAGTGGAGACCCATAACTAAAGTGGGGGAGGAATTTCTGAACCCTTTCTTGTATCATGGACCCCTTTGGCAGCCTGGTGAAACTGATGGACCCCTTCTCAGAATAAGTTTGTTCCCTACTTTATACTAAATTATGCAAATGCTAAATTTCAGTTAGAAGTTAGTGAAAATAAAGATGTATTTTTTCCCCAACTTCATGGACCCCCTGAAATCTGTCCATAAATTCCAAGTTAAGAACTTCTAATTTAGAAGGTGAAAAAATTTTAGCAAATTTATTTCAGGAGCAGAAACGACTGAATTTAACTCCCAGTTAGAAAAAAGAATTAGTTAAAATAAAAAGCCACTAGATTGAGAGGGGGCTGTTGATGACACTCATTTATGAGACACTGTAGTAAATAATGTCCTCCTTCTGTCTGACTGAATTTGTTTTAAGTGCTTGTTGAAATATTTTCATACTATGAATTGTCAGGTTGATTTGTGAATTCCTTTTGTGTTGTTTGCCCTTAATTCCATGATTGGTAGTTAAGGCTTTGTTCTGATGTATCCCTGTGACATGACTGTTGTCCTGGATGCTCACAGATTATGCACGTGAAGCACTTTTTCTGACGCGTCCTACTGAGTTGCTAAAGCTTTGAATACAGCCCAAGCTCTAGAAAGTATGTCTGCTGGTGGAGGGCCAGCTTAGCTAAGGGGTTCACCAACAGATTCCTGGGCACCAGGAGATAACAAGGACTTTGGACACAGCAACTCACAATGCCTGTCTACTAGGACTTGGAGAGATCATGATCTCTGTTTGGTGAGATTACAATAACATGAATGAAATCATGGATCATTTGAAGTGCCAAGATAAAGTGTGGATGATAATAATAGGTATACTTACCTATCTCATAGGAATATCATCAAAAAAGCTTTCTGTAAACCATAAATATGAGCCATTATTATTAGAGGCAGCTAGTGACACAGTGGATAGAGTAATGGGTTTAGGGTTAAAAAGACCTTCTCTGTGTCTCAGTTTCTACATTTGTAAAATTTGGGTGATAATAGCACTTATAGGATTTTTGTAAGGATCAAAGGAGATTACATATATAAAGTACTTCTGCCTGAAAGTGCTATGTAAATGCTAGCCTATATGATTAAGTAACTATTATTACAACTTCTTAAGCAGAGGTAAGTTGATGGCACAATTTCCTGAACCTCTGTAGGATTCTGATTATTTGAAACACTGTTACATAGATCACAGTAGAATGTAAGCCCCATGAGGGCAGGGGCTGTATTGTTCATTTTTATCTTTGTGTCTCTAGCCTCAAGCAAAGTAAAGGACTTTATATATATATATATATAGTAAATGCTTAATAAATGTTTGCCGATGATGACTGAGCAAGAGACAAAAAAACAATCAGGCATATGGGGAAGAGTAGTTCAGAAAGTGTTTATTAGTGCTTACCACATGCCAGGTACTTTGCTAGGTGCTAGGAAAGGAAGGAAGGAAGGAAGAAAGAAAGAGAGAAGGAGAGAAAGAAAGAAGGATAATGGAGAGAAGGAAAGGAAAGAAATAAGGAAGGAGAGAAGGAAGAAAGAAAGGAAGAGGAAGAAAGAAACGAAAGAATAGTCTGTCTACCAGGTTGCATTCTTTTATGGGGAGGGGGGGTGTTCAAGACAATATGCACACAAATTAATACAAAATATGTAAAAATAAATACAAAATATTTTTCAGGGAGTAGTACACTGTCAGCTGAGGGGATCAGAGCCAGGAAGCAGATGTGTAGATGATGAGACTGTGATTTGAAGGAAGTTAGAGATTCCTAAGATGCAGAGATGAGGAGTGAGTGTAACATTCCTCACCCATGGTCCTCCACCCCTCTACAGAGGGAAGGAAGTTTTGTTTTCATCATCTGTTCTTTTAGAAGAAGATTGAAAATCTATATTTCATCATGTAGGAAAAATAATCACACAGAAAGGTTATGTGTGCTGCATATAATACCATGATATGCAGTAACACCCTTTGTCACTCAAGCAGATTACTGATGAAGTGATTACAAATCAGATATGCTTGCTATCCATGGTGGGAAATATGACTTGCAAATACTCCGCCTTCTCTTCCACCTTCTATCTTTTTCAGAATGTCACAATTGGAGACAGTGGATGGAGATATTAAGCAGTGGCGTTATTTCCACGTCTTTTCCACTCTGACCAGTGGTGTCTTCTCAAAACCCCTTTCTCAAGAGCTCCATCATGGAGATCATTGAACATCTATGGCTGTTGGAGAAAAGATAGCCCAGAAAAGGAATGTGACTACCATGATAATGCTGGAATTCAAAGCTTTGTTATTCAGCACTCTAGGGAGCCTAGGGGGTGTCCATCCAGTGGTGTTTCCCCTATTGGCAGAGAGTAATGAGAGCATATTTTGTCTTTCAGGCAGACCTGTGGAAGATGGAAAGAACCAGTTTTTATGAACAGGCAAAAAAAGCTTTTGCTGTGGTTGCAACAGGGTAAGTACTTGAAACAGGGAAAGATGGGAGCCCAAGAGTATCTTACCTGTGTCCTGGAAGGTTAGGAAATGAAGGGTTGCACTCTGATGGCACAGGAATTCTCTCTTCCCCTCATCTGACTCTCTGTGCTCACTAGCCTTTCCCCCAGTGTAATATTAACCTTGCCTCTAAAATAACCTTTTACCTTCTCTGTATATATCGTATATCCTTTCTTTTTTTTTCATATATTAACAACCATCTTCTTTTTTCTTTCTTCTTAATTTATTTTAAATTTAAGTACTAAAATTTAAATATACAATAAGAAAAGAAAAAGAAACATATAAACTTAAATATAGAATAAGAAAAGGAAAAACAGCACATTGCCATGTGCACAGCAGAACATGAGAGAATTCAAAATATACAGCAATAAATTTCCATTTCACAAAAGCCTATATAATAAATGCTACGTATTGTGTTCAGAGCTTCTCTGCTGTATACTCTTTACTTTGTTATCCTTTCTTTTTTGATATCTTTGTATCTACCCAGTTGTTCACATGTTGTCTCCCTAATTAGAATGTAAGCTCCTCGAGGGTAGGGACCAATCTTTGCCTTTCTTTGTATCTTTAGGGCTTATCACTATCTTTGGCACATATGAAATGCTTAATACATTTTTGTTTACTGAATGACTTTAGTTCTAGTTTTCCCCCAAGCCCACTGTAAGGGGAAAATACAGCAACAAAAATGCAAAATAAATAAATCATTTTTGCATATATGGCAATGTTTAGTCTGCCATCCGTGTTTGATACACATTGTTTAGGTTGGTGGCTTACTGCTTTCTGTTGCACATTTGATATGTCTATCTGTGCCTCGTACTGTCAGTCCCATGGAAAAGTGGAATGGAAGCTACAAACTCTTTGGCAGTTTTAGAGCCTTCTTTCTTCCCAAAGGAAAATGGAAGCTTTTCCTCATGACCTCTGGAGTAGGTATCACAGGACCGATATTTCTCATAGGGTCACAGGCTGCACCATTCTTGATTTTGTTTGAGGAAAAAGGGGAAGAGAAATATAATATGATGTAGGAGAAAGCACTCTGGTGAAGGCCACTGACTCATGGTTACCCTTAGGTAATTAACTTCCCTTCTCTAGGCCTCAGTTTCCTCATCTGTAAAATGCTGGGGATGAACATAATAATACCTAAAGTCCTCTCTAGCTCTAACATCTCTAATGTTACTTTTTTTCTCTTTTTTTTTCTAAAGTTACTTTTTTAACGGTGTATCCTCCCTCCTTCACCCTTGTCTTTCTTGTTGTGAGCCTCTAACCAGGCACAGGACTCTTAGGGCCCCTCCCTCTTCTCTGTCTCCACTCCCCTTCCCAGTCCTTAGGATTACCCTCTTCAGATGCAGTTGTCCAGTATATCTGCTTGTCCATTGTTAGGCATTCTCAGCTCTTCACTCTTCCTCACCCCTCTCCCTCATATCCATTATTCTTATCTGTCCCCTTTTGTCCATCCATCCAGACACCACCCTACTTTAGGCCCCTATCCCCTCTTACCTGGACCACTGCCACAGCCTCCTCCCTGGTCTTTTTGTCTCAATTCTCTCCCCTCCATCCAGTCTATCTTTCATTTGGTCATTTTTTTCAGTTGTGTCTAACTCTTCAGGACCCCTCTTGAGGTTTTCTTGGCAATGCTACTGGAGTGGTTTACCATTTCTTTTTTTTTTTTTTTGCCATCTCCTTTTCTAACTCATTTACAGATGAGAAAACTAAGGCAAACAGGGTTAAGTGACTTGTTCAGGGTCTCACAACTGGTGTCTGAGGTCAGATTTGAACTCATGAAGATGAGTCTTCCTGACTCCAGGCTCAGTACCCTATCCACTGAACCACCTAACAACCCAGGCCATCTTTCACACAGCTGCAAAAATCCCACACAAAAAAATAAACAAGATAGAAATTAGAAACAAAATCATATTGTCAAAGTATGTGTGACCGTGTTAGACCCAGGAGATGCAATGGCTCCCTCTTGCCTCCAGGATCAAATCCATCCCTCTTCCTCTGTCGTTTGTAGCCCTTCACTTTCCAGCTGTCCCCCACCTTTCCAGACTCATTAGACATCACTCCCCTTCATGTCGTCTGTATATTCTGGGCAGAGTGGTACCTCCTCGGTAACATTGTCTGTCTCTGGGCCTTTGCACTGGTCATTACCCATTTCTGGGATGTGCTCCCTTCTCACCTCTGTCTTTGAGAATCTAAAGCTGTCTCCAAGGCTTGGCACTACATGAGAACTTCTCTGATCTCACAAATTGCCCATCCTTCTCCCTCATTCCCATTTACTTTGTATGAATTTTGCGTTTACATATATGTATGTGTATGTATATATATGTATGTATGTATATATATACACACATATATGTATATGCACACACACACACAGAGGACTTGAGCTCCTTGAGGATAGATAGAGACTGGTTTTAGTTATTTTGTTCCTAGTATGGTATTTGGCTCCTAGGAGGCACTGAACACAAAGTATACAATAATGATTGACTCATTATTCATTTTCCAGAGAAACAGCTCTATATGGGAACATAATTCTCAAGAAAGGTGTGATTGCCCCACAGGAGCAGCACTAGGCCCTGAGGATGAAGAAGACTTGGTTTCAGCCATCAGAAGACACATCCATTCCTCGATTCTGGAATGATCACTTACACTAATAAATACATACATTGGCTCTCATGAAAGTGAGTGGAAATCAGACTTTGGCCTTAATGTTAATTGAATAAAGACATTTTCTACTTCTTTTCTATTTCCTTCTTTGGCTTTTTATTCTCTAGTAAATAGCCCTTTTAATGCAGGTGTTTCTGAAGGCCCTATCCTTGGCTTCCTTCTCTTCTTTCTCTAGACAATCTCAGCAATCTCGACCACTTCATCTTTTTAATTATCACAACTACATAGAAGATTCTCAATTCTTTTAGTTATGACTTCTTGTAGCCCTCAACCCTCCAACTCTGCCTTGATGTCCCACAGGCACCTCAAACTAAGTATGACCTCTCCTCTTCTTGAATTCATCATTTCTGTATATGGTGCCACCATTCACTCTGGCTTCCATGTTCATAACCTTGGGATTGTCTTTGCCTCTTCTCTCTCCCTTCTCATATCCAGTCATTTGCCAAGATGTTGGCTCCATCCCCTTGGCATCTCACATCCATTACCTCCTTTCTAACTCTGCTGCCACCATCCTAATACAGATCCTCTTCCCTACGTACTTGGATTATAGCAACAGCCTCTTAACCATTCTTCTTGTTTCTACTCTCTAATCCCCAATCTATTTCCTTCTGCCAGAACATTCTTTCTTACACATTGATATGATCAAGTAACTGCTTATCCAAGTATTAGTCACACAGTTAATAAATGTTGGAGATGGAATGCAAACATAGGCCTTCTCACACCATCTCTACCATTCTTTTTACCACACCATGCTGGTGTAAACAGAACATCCTAGTTCTTGGGACATCATAGCTTTTGTGTAGGTTGATATTATACATAAAGAAACCAGAAAGACACCAGGCTATGATTTGTTTCTGAGGGAAAGATATAAAGCTCACCAGTCTTTTCATTCTTCTTCAACCTCACCCTTATGATCTGCGTAGAACAGAGGATCGTGATAAAGAACTATTTTCTTCATCATAGTTTTATCCAGAAGTTAAGTGGCACAATGGATAGAGTGCTGGGCCTGGAGTCAGGAAGACCTGAGTTCAAATCTGGCCTCAGATACTTACTAGCTGTGTGACCTTGAGCAAGTCACTTAACCCTATTTGCCTCAGTTTCCTCATCTGTAAAATGAACTAAAAAAGGAAATGGCAACTTCCGTATCTCTACCAAGAAAATCCTGAATGGGGTCATGAAGAGTTGGACGTGACTGAAACAACTAAACAACAATAAACAACCTTTTCTATTTGAGGAAGGAGAGCTCTTGGACTATGATACAAACTAAGAACTGAAATGGGTTTCTCATCATAGGTAAGATGAAATTTAAACTGAGGGATGCAGAGGAGACTATAGAGAATGTGGAGTTAATAATAGAGTTCAAAGAGCAAATGTGATCTTAGCTTAGGCATCAGTTGCCTTCTATTAGCAGCCAGGGTTGAGGGATAAGGTTAATAGCTATTGGCTGATCAAATTGAGTGAGCTCTAGAGCTCTCTCCCGTAGGGGAGTGGTTACTACTCATTACACCTGCCTTCCTTCCATCCCATGGATATGAAACAGTAACAGGTGATCCTGAAGGTAGCCCCTCAATCAATCACTATAGCCAAGGCATAGTGGGGGGGCTGAAAAATCTCCAGCCGTATCCTGTAGGGTAAATGCTTAATAACCACAGCATCCATAGTGGATGTTAGATGTGGTAGTAGATGGAACTGAAAGAAGCTACAAGGCGGAGGATCAGCTTCAGTGGAGATGTTATAACTGGTGGAAAATAGCTGAGATAGCTAGCACGCCTCCTGGGGAGAGTTGGAAGGCAACATCTGTTGGAAAGGAAGCCAGGCCGAGAGCTGTGCAATGCCATCGCTAGAAGATGCTGGCCACTCTGCATCCTTGCCAATGCAGGTGTAAGATGCCCCTCCAGTCCTGCACCCTAGTCACAAATATTCTTCATGTGCACATGTATTTTATCATTGCATCACCACTTTCTCCATTTGAAGGTATGTGTATGTACGTGTGTGTATGTAAGACTAGAAGCTCAAGGGTTATGGGAAAAATGCTCTGTGGTTATTTTACTACTATTCTTTTTTATTAAATATCTTATTTTAAATTAAGTGTGACCTATGATTGATTTGCAGAAGTAATCACATCAGTAGGGGCTTGTGAACTTCGATTTGAAGAGGATTCTGACCTACAAAGTTACGAGAACATTGGGTACCTTCCTGGGGGTCTATGGGGGAGAGGGAACAGTTGTTTGTATACAGGAGAATTGCTTCTTATTAATACAAATTCATTCTATTATGCTTCTCTACCACATCCCTGCACTAAGTTTCCATGGCTCCAATTAGTTCTCTGCACGTGCTCTTCCCTGACAGAATTCTGCTTGAGTGTTCTTAATTTTGACCTTAAAGACCAAAGTCTTCATAATCTATTAACTATTAACTATTAACTAACTATTAACATAATCTATAAACTATTAACCCAAGTTTGTGGTCTAAGTGAAAATAACAAAATTTCTTTCATATTTGCATTCATATAGTCAACCAAAATTTACATCTAAAGGAGAACCTTAGAGATTCCCCCTTTGCAGGGACACTTGCATTTTAAAAAGACCACTGACAGAGACGAAGCCAAAAGAATGAATTATTTTCAAATAGAATTTCAGAAACTGTGACATCTTGGTGACACTTGGCTTAGGGTCTTTCCCTGGACCTAAAAACCCCCTTATGTCTGAAAAACCAAAGTAGGATCTTCAATTAAATTCAATATGCCATTTATTAGACACCTACTGTGTGCTAGGTGCTGGGGTTCTGAAGACAAAAGTGAAAAGATCTTACATTCTGCCCAAGGAAGGGAAACAACGTAGATCAAACGCAGAATCAGCTGTACTTAGGAAACTGGTCTTCATTGTTGGTTTATTCTCTTTCTTTAGTTGTACCTAAATGTCAAAACCTTGGCACAATGCCCTAAGCAGGTAAGCACTGAGTCTTGTCCCCCAAACTCATTACCACCATTGAGATGCCCACAACTCTCAGCATCTCCTTTCCTCTGTCCCACTTGGTAGTTTCATAGATTCGGAGGTGAAAGGGACCTCAGAAGTCCAAACCCTATCCAAATCATGACCTATTCTGCAAGATCCCCCCCAGAATGAACACCTAGCTTTCCCCTAAACACTTCTGGTGATGGGGAAGTCACTTCCCATCCCATTTTTCTGTGGATTTAGATCATTGGGAAGATTTTCTTGAATATTTGAGTTGAGTATGACTTCTACCAATAGCTTTCACCCACTTTTCCTAGTTCTTCTCTTTGGGACAAAGTGGAACAAATTTAATTCTTCTATCTGACAACTCTCTGCATATCTAAGGGTAGATAATTTGTCACCACCACCCTTACCCCTTATTCTCTTCTTCTCCAGCTCCTTCAGCCTGACCTCATATAACATAATCTCAAGGCTTTTTTTTTTGTCATCTCTGGTTATCAGTTGCTTAGGTTAGAGGTCCCAAATAAAGGGAATGTCAAAAATTTCCCTCTGTGATATTGATTCTAAAAAGAATCAGTATGGAATGAATGAAATTAACAAAGTACAGAAGTAGCATTGTCATATTCCCTTCCCCCCAAGGGATCATAAGATCACACATTTCAAGCAGGAAAGGACCCTATAGGTCATATAATCCAACTCCCCTATACTTTACAAATGAAGAAACTGAGGCCCGGAGAGATTAAGCAACTTATCTAAAGTTACACAGGTTACCAGTGCAGAGCCGGGCTCCAAAGATCTATCTGTACTTTTCAGAGTTTGATGTATATAATAATCCTGATCAACCTAGATAATATGGTTGTATAAGATACTTTGTAAGAAGGAGGGCATTATGAAGTGGGAAAATCACCGGATTTGGAACCAGGAAGCTTTGACTTTAATCATGTTCTTTTTTTTTTTTTTTTAAGGCAATTGGGGTTCAGTAACTTGCTTAGGGTCACACAGCCAGTGTCAAGTGTTTGGTCTGAGGCCACATTTGAACTCAGGTCCTCCTGACTTCAGGGCCAGTGCTGTATCCACTGCGCCACCTACTTGCCCCTCATGTTCTTCTACTTAGAGCCTGTGTGACTTTGTACAGGTTATAGTGAATAGAGTGCTGGATTTGGAGTTAGGGAGATCTGGGTTCAAATCCTACCTTAAGAGCACCTACTTCCCAGGGTTGTTGGGAGAATCAAGTGAGATATTATTTGTAAATTACTTAGCACAGTGCCTAGCACATAGTGTTATATAAATGTTAGTTATTATTATTATTATTACCTTTGACACTTAGGAACTATGTGACCATGAATAAGTCACTTAATTACTCTGAACCTCACTTTCTTCATCTGCATACTGGAGGAGCTGGGTCTTATGTATAATTCCATCTAAGACTGAGCACTTGACCAGAAAGATGGTATTATTTTCTGCACACTTTCCCAACCCTAAAACCTTCAAAGAAAGGAATCACGTTCTAAGTGGCACAGTGGATAGAACACTGGGCTTGGAACCAGAAAGACTCATCTCCATGAGTCCAAATCTAACCTCAGACACTTAGTAGGTGGGTGACCCTGGGCACCTCAGTTTTCTCATCTATATGATGAGCTGGAGAAGGAAATGGCAAACCACTCCAGTATCTTTGCCAAGAAAATCCCAAATGGGGTCAGGAAGAGTCGGATACAAAAAAATGACTTAACATAAATAGAGTAATTATAGCTGAATACACATAAGAAGACAGAATCCACTCTTCTCACCCCTTGCACCCAGAAGGCAAAAACTGCATGAATTAATACTAATAGTCAATATTCACATAGCACTTTGAGCTTTGCAAAATGATTTACATGTGTTATCTTATTTGATAGGAGGTAGGTACTATTACTGTCCCCATTTTCACAGATGAGAAAACAGGCTGGAAGAGGTTCAGTGACTTTCCCAGCATCCCAAAACTAGTAAATGTCTGAGGCAAGATTCAAATTCATTCAAGTCCTCCTGACTCCAAGTCTACCCCTCTATCCATTGTAT